CCCCCCCCCCCCCCCCCCCCCCCCCACTCCTTTGTTCTTTTCACTCTTCTTTTTCTGTGCAATTTAATTAATAAAAACTTTTTCATAAAAAAAAATCATTATTGTATAGTACTTGTACTCCTCCCATCCATCCATTTGCTTGGCTTGATTCGAGTTTCAACTGAGATTCTAAAGTAATTCTAATCCCACATAGGTGTATAGTAGTGGAGCTTAATTAATTGGCTTGGGGAGGGGCAAAAAGGGTACAACAAACTCTATGCCAAAACCAATAATATGTCTTTGACAATTTCACATGTATATCATCATATTCCGTTTAAATTGCCACCATTTGTTCCTTGTAGATACTTCCTCCGTCCAGAAATATTCTTCCCAGTTTCCTTTTTGATCCGTCCGAAAATATTCTTCTCATTTCCTTTTTTAGTATGCTTTTTAGGGATAAATTTTAATAATACTCTTCCATTTTATCACTAATCTACTTTTTTTTTGCTTTTTTAATAGAAAAGAATATTTAAAAGTTTATAGTATGTGCATTTTTGAAAATTTGGCATTTTTTTACTATTTCTTAATAAGCGTGCCAAGTCAACACGGGAAGAATATTTCCGGACGGAGGGAGTAGGTTATTAGAGTGGTCAACATGAATAGATAATTGTCCGACCAATTCTGAACAACGATACAATTTGATATTATTCAATATTAATTGGTTTGTTTTCTTTCTTTTTTTTTAAAAAATAATATGTTTGTTTTGTTTTCGGTGCAAAACAAGTATTACAAATATCTTTATGAATGATTACCCGAGCCACCATTCGATTCTTAAATTCTATGGAGCGCCCGAAGAGCGTTGTTCAAGTGGTCAATATAGGGGGTGGGAAATTGCGTAATGGCCGGGTTCGAGTACTCTTAGCGTAGGCAAGTGTGAGGTGACTTATGTTCTGCATAATCATCCTTTGCTGGACTAGAGACAGATCTCATTTTTTATTGTTCTCTTGAAATCAGAACTTCATTTACCTCTTCTCAGGTAGGTATACTATCCAGGTCAAGCATTTTGAGTGTCATCCTCTTCTTAGAATTCTATGGAGCATTTTGAGTGTAATGTGATTGGAAGGAGTCCCATTTTGATCTCGAATTAATATTACTCTTTCCATTTTCTTATGTGACTAAACTTCATCAATGCATTATGCATGGTTGGTTAGAAAATTATTATACTCCGTACATCATTATCTAGAAATAAGGTGTTGCTAAACTACCTTAAGGGTATAATTAGATATTTATTATGAATGAGATGAACTTAGCCAAATAATGCAGATTTAGAAATATCAGTAAAACTACAACAACAATCTATCCAATAAAGACATTATATTATACAAAAATACAATCAAAATAAACCATATCTAATTAACTAAATCATATAATTTAATTAAGTAAACTATACAATCTAATTATTAAATTATCTAATAACAAAAACAATAATAAGTGAATTGTCACATCAGTGATACATAAATATAACAATATTGATCACTATCCATAAGTTGGAGTAGTTTACTAATTAATAACTGATGGGTTTTAGCAACTCGAGTCTAGATCGAGTAGACTAGAGATTAGAAAGAGAGCTAAGAACAAGCTTCTGAGAAATATGAGATTAAATGCTAGATTGCTCGTAACTATGTTATTGTGTGTCATTGCTTAGTTTCTTACTATATAGATGCATTATACAAGTATATGTTGTCCATAAGTAGGGGTGATGAATTGGACATCATTGTGTAGAAATCGCAAATGTGTAACTGTAAATTCTTATAAGTCCCCGATCCTTGTGTGGTTTGCCGCCGAGTAGAGGACCTCCAACAATGGGCCATGCTATGGATGACCCGTGTTCTAACTCGTCCTCGGTCTAGTGTTGAGTTTTCGGTGTAATGCTAATAACATTTAATCCGATCTTTTAGTTCTGTTGTGTTATTGGGCCTCTGTTTGGGCTCTGAGTTTTCATTGGGCTAGATACCAGTCCCTTGTCTGAATTCACACTTAAGGCTCTCCCTTTTACTCTGAAGACAATATAAAGTATTTCTAATGAGTGAGCTTCCAATCCCGGTCGGCACAAGCAAAGACCAAATGCTAAGCATAAACGTACCACACTACCTTCGTCGGGAATCAAACATGACCACAAATAACGTCCTTTTACACTTCTTATTGATCACCTGACCTACGCAACTCGAGTATTTTTAAGTGTCTCTATGATGAATTGTTCTTAGTCATGCCTACTTAATTAGCTTCTTTAATTTCACTACCTATACTCTAACCCCTAGCTACCTAGCTACTAGCTATAGCTACTCCATATTATTAGCTATAGCTGCTCCTATATATATCCTATATATAGACGCTAAAGCTAGCTTGCTTGAATTTGCCTTGTGTTCATATGAAGAAGAATTTCATCAATCACCCTCATCATCATCATATCATTTTATTATTATTATAAATATACCACAAAAAATGCAGCCATGGCTACTTCTTCACTCTCCTCCACTTCTCCCCTCTTTTTCTTTCCCCTTTTTATCCCTCTCCTCTTTCATCTTCTTTCACCTTCCCATTGCCTAAATATCAACCACCACCATTCCCTATCCTCCACCCGGCCGGTAATATAACATTTCATCCCTCTTTATTATTCTTATTATTTTTGGGGATTATTTATCATTATTATTATTGTTATAATTCATTTGGGGAGTACTTATTAATTGTTAATTAATTGTTAATTAATTAATTAGGATATGCTGGTAGTTGAAGAGAAAACAAGATTGGGTTCAACGCCGCCGAGCTGTCACAACAAGTGTAACCAGTGCCACCCGTGCATGGCGGCGCAGGTGCCCACGCTGCCGAGTCACGGCCGAGCTCGGCCCGGTGGGGCAGCCCGAGTCTTGCCCGTTGACTACTTTGACCTGCCCAGGTACTCCAATTACAAGCCGCTTGGTTGGAAATGCAGATGCGGTGACCGCTTCTACAACCCCTAGTACCTTTGTACGTGCGGTAGATATTTAATTTCACATTATTTGTACAATTAATTATTTGATTATTGGTGGACTTTTGTTTAATACTCATCAGGGTATTTTAATCATATGTTTTTAACTTTTCAACATTTCATTTTTTTTTTTAATTTTTGAAAAAAATTAAATTGGTAATTCTTTTTTTTCTTGGAATAGAAGACAGATTTTTATTTTTATTTTTAAATGAGGTTGTTACGTGTGAATTTATTGTAGTCTATGTTTGTTTGTACATATAAATGTCAACAGTGCATTAAATGTTACTCCTTCACTACACGTAGTAGTACTTCACAAAACAGAAAATTAATAATGCTTTCTATTTGATGGTCCAAACAGATATTTAAGTGGTTTCTCTTTATACTACCATATGTCGAAAAATATATCGTATTATGATATAAATCTAATATCAATATGTTTTTAATGAGACGTAGTTTTGAAACATTAAATTTTTACAAAATATGTCTATGCATAAATATAGACATTAATGATCAAAGTACAATATTGGAGATCGTGAAAAATTAAATGAGAAGAACATTTCTAAATAGAGGGAGTATTTATTCTGTTTATTATTGAGCCTAAACTACGGAGTATATGTTAGTTGTGATCTGAGATTGTTAATTTTAATCCTAAGAACTACTCCGTATTAATAAGCCAAGGAGCATTGATTATTATTTTTAAAAAAGTGAAATATATACTAAATGATACTAAAATATATGTCATTTCTCAACGTAGTATTTAAACTTTTTTATTCTCAGCATAGTACTTAGATAATGTCTAATGGCAGAAACAATGTCCATTGATGGCGGACATTTAGTTTGAATAATGTCTAGTAGCACTGAACATGTACTTGAACAATGACTAGCTTAGTGGATATTGAACAGTGGTACTACATTGAGAAATAAAACATACTCCCTCTGTCCCCCAGTTTTTGTCCACTTTCATTTTTACACACCATCCAATGCACTTCTTTAATCCATTTTATCTTGTAATTTGTATATTAAAAAATTATAAAAATTATATATTAATAATCTATATGTTAAGACAAATCAAACAAGATCACACATGACTATATTTAGGTTTACACATTGAGAGAATTTGATGAGTCAAAGTACTTAGATGAACAGTTCCAAAAGTTAAAAGTGGACAAAAATTGGGGGACGGAGGGAGTATGATATTATATTGAGAAAGTCACTATGTTTTAGTAGTATTTAGGTAAATTTCTCATTTAATAAACAAGTTATGAATTGCTGCTATATCGACTAAACATATAACTTTGTAGATATAGTTTTTGCGTGAGAATTATGTTTTCGATTAGTGTTATGGCTTTGAATAAAAAAATAATGGTAAAAAATAACGCTAGTTAAAATTATCGTTTGATAGTCTTCTCAAAATGCTAAAGTTAAATTCAAATATTGTTGCCACCTCCAACTAAAATAAACTTACATTTTAGACATTTCATATTATTTTTTTCTCATATTTAAATCACAACCATGAATTTCAATTTCTATTAAATTTCATAAGAATCTAAAAGTAAAATTTATTTTGTGATGGAAGGATTATATTTTCAAAATTATAATGGAGTTTCATCCTAGGGGAAAGAAGTTCTCCTAATGAAGTATATGCATACTGTTTTTTTTTTTTTGACGTTTCATTGGGAGTATTTCATTGGGCACATCAGACATGCGCCTTCAGCAGAGCATAAAGGTAGTCTCACCCGTAAGGGTTTGTTTGGTTTAGGGAAAGAGATGCAAGGAGACAAAAAAGCTTATAAGTGAATCTTTTCTATTTTATAAAATCTAAAATTTTATGGTATTTATATAGAGGAATTTACTTAAATAGCACTAAAACATAATGATTTTCTCTAATTAGCACCATATGTGTTTTTCTTTCAAATGTAGCACTTTTAGTCATTATGCATTAATCATTATTCAAGTAAATATTCATCATCACTAGACATTATGAATATTATTAAGTGTTATTTAGGGAATAAAATAATTTAAGTGCTATTTAAAGAAATGACTTAAATTTTAGTGCTATTTAGTGCAAATATTTCATTTTATATACCAAGGTTCATTACTTCCCCCTCCATCCTCCTTTGAATCAAACACAAAATCATTCATTTCAGATAGAATTTATGATGGGGTTTGAGTGATTGAATTGAGCTATAAGACACTTGATTGAATCATATTTAAGAGATCGAATTCCATCGATTACTTAAGTTCAATTCAAGGGCTTATATACCAATTTATTTTCTCTATCAAGTTCCGATCTGACATTGACGATGTGCATCCTCTTCTTTGGTGTACTTCTAACATTATTTGAGAAAAAAATACCTACCACATAATATTTTTTCTCGAATGGAACAAATGAAAATTAAATATAAAGAGGAGGTATAATATCTCGATTAAAATCCACCCATTTTTTATCTCTTATTTTCTTTGGTCTCCTGATATAATAAAGCTCCTTTCTTTTACTACCTCCGTTTCTCAAAAGAGTTCCTCTTTTGACTTTGGGGGAAAATAAGGAAGTGTTAAATTGTAGTTGACTTTCCAATTTTGCCCTTGATGTGATGGGTAAAAGTAAGATGTGATAGTTTAGTTGTTAGTGAAAAAGTATGATGTGATAGGTAGGGTATGAAAAAGTAGGGGTAAAAGTGGTTTTTTAATAGAAAAGGGAAGTGTTTTAAGAAAAATAAAAAAATGAAAGAGGAAGAGTTTTAAGAAACGGAGGGAGTATTAGTTTCCAACTTATTGGCTCCTCAGTTATCCAAATTAAACAATGTGATTGGTTGGGTAATTTGATTTTCTTCTCGAGAATAAATGCTAATGGCACACCAAATTTACAGAGAAAAAATGCTAGTGGCACACCAAAAGTATACTACAAGTGTACGCCACACTCTTCCATCACACAGATTTGGGTGTGGATAAGAAGATTAGAGGATGGATAAAGAATGTGTGATAAGAAGAATGATGGTGCATAAATAAGATACACTTTGATGAACCTCTAGCATTATTCGAGAAAAATTTACCTACCACATAATATTTCTTTCTCAAAAGGAACAAATGAAAATTAAATATAAAGAGGAGGTATAATAACTCGTTTAAAATCCACCCATTTTTCACTCTGTTATTTTCTTTGATCTCCTAATAATAAAGCTCCTTTCTTTTATTAGTTTCCAACTTGGCTCCTCTGTTATCCAAATTAAACAATGATTGGTTGGGTAATTTGATTTCTTCTTGAGAATACGAACACTGACAATTAAGGCATATAGATATATATATATATGTACACACTGAGTTGTTATATTCTACATGGGCCTGGTACAATAGTACTTATGTGATTTTGTGGTTATTTGATTCCCCGGCCGGCCCGGTTATAAAATGTCTTTTTTACCATCATCGTACTTGCACTTTTTCAATCTCGTGACCTTCTCGATTGTCTTATCCCATTGTCATTTCTTCATCAACCTATGTACTCATCTCAAGTGAAATTACATGAAAATTAAGCCTTTGTTTGGAAGGATAGAAAATGGAGAGAAAGAAAATGGAGGAAGAGAAAACACAAATCCCAATATAAATTCTCTTGTTTGGAAAGAAAAGAAAATGGGAGGAAGAAAGAAAGTGAGAATGACTTTTCACTTCAAATTTTTTCCCCTGGAACCGAAAAGAAAATTGCACAAGGAGAGGAGAAGATTTTCCATCTTATTTTCTCTTTATTTTCTATCTATCCAAACACCAATTATTTTCCTTCTAATTTCTCCTCATTTTCTTTTCTCTCTATTTTCTTTCTCCTCATTTTCTTTCCTTTTATTTTCTTTTCTCATCCAAACATATCCGAAAGCCTGCACCTTTGTTTGAGCCAATGTAATTGAGTGAAATTTATGTACTAAAAGATATTTTCTCAATGTAGTACCATATGTTTTAATATCTTAATGTAGGTATGTTGTTCCATGTCTACTAGACATTGGATATTGTTCAAAGTAAATGTTCACTGATATTGGATATTATTTATGCCACTGGATATTGTTCAAGTATATTTTGAGAATAAAAAATTTAGACAATACTTTGGGTAAAGACATATTTTAGTAATATTTAGTGTAAATTTTACTATAATTGGAGGTGTGTACCTACTACATAGGAGCTCATGTTCATTTATTGATACTTTCATTCCTTTCGAAAATGAACTTCTCATTCATTATTTATATAATCAAACTTTTTTTATTTACGTTTTTATCTATTTTGTTATGGAGAAAGATTAAAATGAAAATAAAACATTAAAAAGAACCAAAATAGTTAAAATATGACTTTCATATGTTACCCCTATTTTGGAGATAAGGGCTATATTTTACTCCTATTTTCGGTGTGTCATTTCTTTTTTCGTTACTCATTTGATAAAATCATACTCATGCCATATTTTATTTTGTAGAATTTTTTTTAAATATTTTGAATATTTAAATTTTATAAAGTATTTTCAATTTCACACCAATTTTAAAATAAATTTAATTAAAAATATTTTTAGTTAAAAATCGTAAATATCACGTACATTTTTTATACACTTATGAACAAAAAGATTCATTTTATACTGAGTTGACCCTAGATAGACCACAGATTACCATCAAGTTGCAAGTAGATTATATTCGGGCTCTTACATTGTATTGCTAATTGAGGTAAGACATCTATGATTGATATGACTAAAGATCTTGTACTAGGGGACTTGAGATTTATTGTATCGCTTAGTTCTAAATTCTTTGTTAATCTGTTGGCAAAATAGATATTCATATTTTGTAAAAGTTTGACAAAGTAAAAACCTCTATTTATTAAAAGAGGTTATTTTTGTTTAGACTTTAAATTTTTCGTTTTAAAAAAGATTTTGCAACATGATCCCGTCAAACATCTTGTGACGCGGATGAGCAAAGTCTCTGCAAAATTTGGGAAAGGACATACAGCATTTGGAGCTAGAGACCTAATGGGAAGAACAAAGATCTACCGGGATTTATTTATTATTATTCCATTTGGTATTCAGGAGTCCTTATCCTAATTGTATATGAAAATTAAAAAAATATATTCAAGACAATTTCTAGTTATCTGTTCCAACCATACTTTGACCACAAACATGCCTAGTGATGATGGATACCCTGGATATGGGGTATCCGGTCTTTGTATAATATTAGTCAAGGCGATCCAGTCTGTTGGACCAACACATTAGTCGTATACTAATTACTTATTTATGGTGATCCAATTTGTTGGATCGGCTTATTAATCTTGAGTCCTAGCCCTGATTCAACCCTTATTTATATTCCTCCTTTAGGAGGAGGAAGGAGAGAATTCAACTGAATACATTACACTCATCTTCTTCTTCTCTATTCATACATTTTCTTTTTCTTCTCCAACTATGGATCCACAAATCCAACACCTAGTTATGCGATGAACATTTCTTGTGGAAGACTTGTGTTTGGTGTCGTAATTGACTATATATGTTGCGATGGACTTGTGATGGGAAATATTTGTCTTTGTTTCCATGTTTGCGATAAGCTTCACCATTTGTTGCAAGGTTGCGACATTAACAAAACATAATGTTAAGACAATCGGCATGACTAATAATTTCAATGAACATAAAGTTCGTCACATGGTTGCAACGCCTTTGCAACAAGAACAAAGTACATGGACGATTGGTAATGCATGATGAACATATTAAGTCCGTCACACATAATGCACAATGCATCCTCACGCTGCAACATAAACACAAAAACGCCGGAAACATGCACCATCACTAATGGAAACACAATTCCATGATATTACTTGGTTCAACATGAATGCCAAAACACATTTAGAACACAAAAGCAACATACACAATAACTAAAAAAAGTGCATAATAAAATTGATAACATAATAAAAATTCCCATATTATATAACATGTACATCAAAACTGATTTTTTAGCCGATTCCATCAAATTTCTACCCTCTATACTCTCTCTATCTCTAAAAAAATTTTTACAGTTTGACTTTTTTTGGTGAAACTGTGACACTTTTTGATTGTGAATTATGAAAAAAATATTTAGTTATAATGTAAATTTTAAAAAAAGTTGGGTTTATTTTAAAATATAGTTTTGAATTATCAAACTTTTTTTATACGAAGTATTTAAAACTTATTTTAAACTATATTTAATTCGTGGCTAAAATATGCCAAAATTTGACCAAAAAAATCAAACTATGTAATCTTAAGGACATGAGAAGTAATAAAGTTCATATTGCATACGTAGTTATTAATTATTATAAATCAACAAAGTATATAAATAAATTAAATTAAATAATCAAAAGTTAGTTTTTTTTAAAGATCAAAAATTACAAAATTTACATATCAAAAATAAAGATCAGACCAAATTTGGACTAGTCCTACCCAAACTATCCTGTCTCAAGTATTGTTTAGAGTAATTTACCTAAATATGACTAAAAGATAATGACTTTCTTAATATAGGATCATATGTTTTTATTTTCCAATGTATGACTATTGGTCATTATTTATTAGTCATTATTCAACTAAATGTCCAGCATCACTTGAACATTATTCTTCTCACTAGTCATTATTAAGTTCTATTAAGTCTTATTTAGGGAATACTTTATTGTCAACACGCAAGTGGTGACAAGAATATTTTATTTTATCATATAGGCCATAAAAAAACACAAATAAATATAAATTCCCGTGAAGTTGGAATAGTGCTCTAGGAAGATCATTATAGGACGGAGGGAGTAAAAAAGTTTAAATCCTACATTGGGAAATGACTTATGTTCACTATTTTTATATATATTACGGAGTAATATTGTTTTGACCTTAAAAAATATTTTGTACGAATGATAAAAAAAAAGCAATGCTAGGGGTACACCAAAAAGTGTACTCCAAATTCCCATAATCTCCTGCATTCCCATTTCTTGAGAAGATTTGCCTTTCATTTTCCAACAATTCAAATTCCATATATTGTCAAGCAACACCACAAAGAAGGATTTTGATCTCAATCTTGGCGGTATGTATATCTTTCACCTTGCTTTTTACATTCATATTCATACTCTGATTATTACTGCGTCCCCATTTTTTTTTCTTCTTCAAATTTCAATTTTTAAAATTCTTCTGGGTTGGTTTATTCCTGGAATTTGTGATTTCCCGAATCTGTTTTCCACTTCTGTGTGGATTTAAGAATGGAATTTGATCCTGAAAGAGTAGGGAAGAAATTCGTTCTTGAGTTGGTGAAATTATTTATTGGTATTGTGGGTTAGCGACATATGAACTGAGATGGGTTGCTTTAATGGCCCGTTTGGTGAGTTTTGGAGAAATGATAATATATGAGTAATGAAATCTAGGAGAAATGATATGAGTTTTGAAATCTGAAACGAATTTGTTTAGAGAGATTTAAAATCATGATTTAATTAGTGATAAGCCGGAGTGACCAGCAACCAAGGTGGTTGGTGGTGACAATGGTAGCCGGTGACAGAGAATGATCAATGGTTGAGAGAGATATCAAACCCCTATATTGATATCTCCCAATTTCGGGAGATATCGAAACCCTCCATTTGAAGGATTTATGATATTTGGAGATATCAAATTCAATATCTTTTTTGGCTTCACCAAACACCTAAAAAGAATTTTGATATTTGGAGATATCAAAATCCATATCTTGTTTGCTCACCAAACACACCCTAAGTTCTTTCTTTTTTTAATGCATTTGCTGTTTTCTTTGGTAGAACTGCTTAGAATTTCGGAGCTCATGAATTTTGAATCTTTGGAGAAATCTGATTATGGATGCACTTAGTATGCATTTTGTGTGGGTCTGCTAAAAATTTGAAGGAAAAAAGCTAGCATATCAGTATTGTTAAATCATTTGCTGAGACATAGCGTGCTAAAACTGGAATTCTAGACGTCGGTCTTAGTGTTCATTCAGAATGTGTAGGTCTCTTAGGACTTAGGAGACCACACGAACGTGTGAAGGACATTTATGTATTTGTTTGCTTTTGTTTCTGCACGAAAGTAATGCATTTGGATGTAAAAATAAATACATTTTTTGTTTTTTCATTCACTGCTTTTGTTAGAGGGGAGTGTAGAGCATGTCGAGGATATGGGCGAAGTTGGTGGGGATGTTGAGCAACAGGAGTTTTGTAGGAGTCGATAAAACAGGGAATCGATACTTTACCAGAAGGGAGGAGATTGATGGTTTCATGAAAGAGAAACGATTGGTGGTATTTAAAGGGGAGCATGATCCAACCTCCATCCCAGTTGAATGGATATGCTGGTTGAATGGACAACGGAAAAATGCTCCTACTTCTGAGGAGATGGCTGAGCTGGAGGCTAGAAGGGAGCTTCTTAAACTTAATGTTGCTCGTTTGAAGGAGGAAGAGGAAAGGCTAGCCAAGGAGGGGAAGTTCAAGACAACAAGAGTTAGTAAACTTGCTGGTCCAGACTTAAAAAGTTATACCAGGCAATTCGCAGATGCCTATGCAGGTGAGGCAGCTACAGAACCATCTAATGCAGAGGATGAAACCAAATCTTCAGAGCCATCTGGATTGGGAGAATCGTTTAGACCAGGAACATGGCAACCTCCTGTATGAGTTTGTACTAAATGGAAATGTCTTGGTGTTATTGGTTTGAAAATGTAACGTATAATTTATTTCCGCGTGAAGAGATACATATATTTGGAGTACTTTTGGATCTATACATGTTCTCATTCCCTTAGCTTAACAAAACAATACGTTTGTTTTTATTTTTATGCTATGATGCATTAGTTTTTTTTTTACCAAAAAGCTATAGCTATCTCACCATGAGATGGTTTCATTATGGACTTTGGCTCTTTGACTTTCAGTTTGTCTTGGGTCATGCTGCTTATGCTTTAGGCAGCATTGAAAATAAAGCGTGATATGAAGCATCGGTTACTATTGTTGTTTTGTACTCCATATTACATAGTGTTCCTTGATTGGTGGCACTGACATAGCTTTTATTTTTATGCTATTGTCCATGTAAAACAGAATTTACTGCTTAAAAGCTTTAAAATGACAAATGTGGTGTTTGGAGATATGAAGCTATTCTTTGCAATACTAACTTTGGCATGCTTGTGGTCATTTGTGTCGCCTGATGCCCAAGGTACCCCCGCCACCCACCCACCAAAGAATCCCATAAAGAGTCATATTTCACAATTGTGTAATGAAAGTATTTGTATCAAATAATCTTGAATATATTGTAGGAGATGCACTCTATGCATTGAAGGAGTCTCTAAATGCATCAAACATTCAACTTCCTAATTGGGACCGGAATCAAGTTGACCCATGCACTTGGTTCAAAATTAGATGCGATGATGATAAAAATGTCACCATGGTGTAAGTAATGTTTTGTTTATGAAAAATGTAATAGCGAAATCTCATCGTTTGTCTGTTTGTGATATATATGATGGTGTTTCAAATTTGGTATTTGTGAACCACTTTCTCCTTATTGATGGTGTTTCAAATTTGGTACTCCCTCCGTCTCCCATACATCTTCCCAATAACCCTATTTCTTTGTCCACAATAGATGTTCTCATTTCATTTTTTAACAATTAAAATACCACAACTACCCCCACATACTTTATTTATTACACCTCACCCACCTCATTTAATACACTCCACCCATTTTCATTAAGGGTATTATGGTAAACTTTCACCTTTTTTCAACTCTCCTTAAAAACCACCAAAAGTCAAAATGAGAACATCTTAGGTGGACGGAGGGAGTATTTGTGAACCACTTTCTCCTTATTGATGGTGTTTGATTTTTGAAGATCCTTCTGTTTGCAGATTATTGTCTAATATGGGGTTTTCTGGCACGATTTCTCCAGCATTAGGGGTTTTAAAGAGGCTTAACACACTGTATGTTAATCATGCTGAATGATAATCAATTAGTTCTATTTGTGCACTACTCCATTGGTTGATAAACAGCAAACCTCCTGATTGTAGTTCCTTGCAAGGAAATGGAATAACCGGTAAGATTCCTGATGAATTAGGAAATTTGGCAAGTTTGGAAATGCTGAACCTGGAAAATAACCAACTATCCGGAGAAATACCGCCTTCTCTTGGCAATCTTAAAAATCTGAAATCATTGTAAGCAATACTATAGTCACTTAATCAGAGTAGCCTTTTTTATTTACTTTAATATTCCCATGTATTTAACAGGTCATTGAGTAACAACCATCTTATAGGAACAATACCTCAATCATTCTCACGCCTTCCAGTCTTAACTGACATGTAAGTTGTTCATCCGGTTTGAAATATTATGATAATACGATTTCTTGTTTCTTTTATCTAGATAAAACTTTGTTATGGTGAAATGTTATTTGCAGACAACTTGCCTCAAACTATCTTACTGGCCAAATACCAGAGAATTTGTTTCAAGCGTACAATTACAAGTATGTCGTACCATATCCTTCAAGGATGGGGCGCTTAATTAGAACCTTATTGTTATTGTGATGTCTAGGCCCCGTTTGTTTACATGAAATTAATTTGTTCCTGGGAAAATAAATTGTTCTATGTACAAAACAGTGTTTCTCCTCCAGTTGTTCTATGTACAAAGTTAGCTGGATTTTTTTGTTTTCTAGTTTTACAGGGAACCATTTGATCTGTGGCTTCCATTTCAGTCATCATTGTGAACCTGATCGTGAAGGTAACTAAGAGAACTGTGGCTTCCATTTAAGTCATGTTTTACATTGATTCTTCAAATATAAAACAATTCCATTTAAGTCATGTTTTACATTGATTCTTCAAATGTAAAACAATCAGAAACATTAAACTGAATCCGTGACAAGTTGATTTACAGTTACAAGTTGATTTACATAATATTTGTAGATGTCACAAAAAAGTCAAAAACTGGAATGATCGTGGGGATTGTCTGTGGGTTTATCGTTGTTTTTCTGGGAAGCTTGTTGCTTTGTCTATGGAGGGACCGATGCAATTGCTACAGGCATGATGTCTTTGTAGATGTTCCAGGTTTGTGTTAATTGTGATCCATATTAAGCTTTATTCAATATGTTTGTGGACCACGCTTCTTTTGAGATAGGTATTGGGTGTCATATTATGACCCTGGGGCCTTACGGTGCTCCATTCAACCCTAAAGTGGTTCCAACCCCTACCCCCTCCCCCTCCCACCACAAATCCCTTGCCCACGAATTAACCTATTTGCTACAATGTTATTGTAGCAAATAGGCGAATCCAAGGGACTGAGGGGGCTGTCATCGATTTGATTTACTGTAGCAAATTGGCAATTCCAAGGGGCAGGGAATTTCTGGGGGTTAGGACTTAGGAGAGGTAGGAACCATTTTGGGGTTGAACAGAGCACTGTAACTACGAAGTACTCCGTATCTTCTATTTTTGATAATTTTGTGGATAAGTTATTCTGACCCAACGGGTCAAATCACTTAAAAAGATTGAATGCAATTGATAAGTTAGTCTAATCCAAAGATCTGTAAACCCACATGCCACATAACTATCTTCTATTTTTGATCATTTCTGGCTTTGGCATGTCTTCAGGAGAAGTGGACCGTGAGATTGACTTTGATCAACTAAAGAGATTTGTGTATACAGAATTACAAGTAGCTACTGACTATTTCAATGAGAAGAATGTGTTAGGTCAGGGAGGTTTTGGGAAAGTATACAAAGGGGTGCTTAGTGACAATACTAAAATTGCTGTGAAACGACTAACGGACTATAAGAGTCCTGGTGGAGATGCTGCATTTCTGCGCGAAGTTGAGATGATTAGTGTGGCCTTCCACAGGAATATCTTAGGTCTCATTGGATTTTGCACCACACCAACCGAGCGCCTTCTGGTTTACCCATTTATGGAGAATTTAAGTGTTGCTTACCGTCTACGAGGTACTCCTGTTGTTACTTTTTGTGAGGTTTTACTGGGTTTGTTGTTGTGGTTGTATTGACAGCCCACTCCGAATTTCTGAATTGTGAAATTTTTTTGTCTAAAATGTATGAAGAAAAGACTAAAATGATTATCTGCAGTAATTTCAGCAAAATGTACCTCTAACCTTAGATTTTTTTTATAATTTACCAATTCTTTGTGTGCAATCAAGTACATTTGTGTTTGGTAAAAAAACTGATTGATAAGACCAATAAGTCAAATAAATGGCTACCAAGTCCAGATGGCCACGAAAATCACTTTTAGATTTTACGATATCTCACCCCTAGGTATGGGTTTCATGTGTTGTCTTCTAAATAGATTTGATTCATTTCCAGAGTTTAAAGCTGGTGAGCCTGTTCTTGACTGGCCTACTAGAAAGAAAGTGGCATTAGGGACAGCACGCGGACTTGAATACTTGCATGAACATTGTAATCCAAGAATTATTCACCGTGATGTTAAGGCTGCCAATGTGTTGCTGGACAAAGATTTTGAAGCCGTTGTTGGTGATTTTGGGTTGGCAAAGCTGGTAGACATTAGACAGACCAATGTGCTGACTCAAGTACGCGGCACAATGGGTCACATAGCTCCTGAATATCTGTCTACTGGAAAATCATCACAAAAGACTGATGTTTTTGGGTATGGAATCATGCTTCTAGAGCTCGTGACAGGTCAGCGTGCAATGGAATTCTCTCGTCTTGAAGAAGAGGAAGATGTCTTATTGCTTGATCATGTAAGTTAAGCAACCTCATGCTACTTGGGGGGGGGGGACTCTATATTACTGAAAATTACTCATGAACCTTAAGACTAATGGCGCATTTGGATTTAAATCTGTTTTTGCCTAATCCGTTTCCAGAATCAGTTGTTTCAGAATTTGGAGATTCTGGAGAATCAAGCAGAAACAACCACCGATTCTTTTCAAAATCTAAAACAAATGCAACACTTAGTTATTCTGAGATGAGAATTTGCAGAATGAACAGAATCAGCTTTCAGAATCAAAGCCAAATGGCGCCTAAATTTACAAACTCTGAAAAAGATTTCAAGATTACAAAATGTCGAACTGTTCTTCAGGGAATAAAAATGGGATTTTCCCCTTGATTTAAATATGTGCAAGATTTTTTTTTATTGCTCTAAGGTCTCTCTTGTAGTATCAGCTCTGGGATGACCCATGTTTGTATACATGCCATTTTGAAGGTTAAGAAGCTGCAAAGAGAAAAAATGCTCAGTGCCATTGTGGACAGGAACCTGGAGGACTATGACATCAGAGAAGTAGAGATGATGATTCAGATGGCACTGTTGTGCACCCAAGCATCACCCGAAGACCGCCCCACGATGTCATTGGTGGTTCGAATGTTGGAAGGAGAGAGCCTTGCTGGTGGAAGGTGGGAAGAGTGGCAGCATATTGAAGCAACCAGTAGCAGGCAAGATTATTATGAAAGACGCAGGGGAGCTGCAGGTCCATGCTACAACCAGGAAACTATGCAGTTATCTGGTGGAAGATGACAAAATCATGGACTAATATTTCGACCAGATTATTCTTAAGCCGATTAGTCCAACCAAACGGAGCCTTACAATCCGCCTAACTCAAACTAGCACTTCCCTTCAAGATAGTGGTTTCATATCTTCTAAAATCTCTTGAATCAAATCTCCAGTTATCTGAGACTCAACATCTTTGCCTATAGCATTCCCATCTTCCTCGCTGACAATCAACCACGGGGTGGACTTCAAGTCGTGTGCCACCATACCCTCAAGGGAACAATAAGACAGATCTGCCCCTGGGTAAATGTACGCCCGAGTCATTTCCCAGACACAATCCAGTAACTTCCTTCCCCGTGGAGGTCGCGACATTGTACCAATAACATCTTCCATGAATCTAGACAGTGTCAAAGGTGCTTGAAGAATATTTGGCACTGCTTCATTCAATAAATCACATAGCATCTTGTGATTCAACCTCTCCTCTTCATTTCCCTCTGCCTTTTTTTGCTTGTAAGTGTTCTCTACTCCTTCAAAAACATGGTCGCTTATGGCCTTCCCGAATGGGTCCCATCTTGATGGGTATTTATCATCATAGAGACCAGAAGCAATGAGCAGATCTCTTATATAAGCTTTGGCATTGTCATGAATCTCCATCATCATTTCTTCCTCAAGAGGAGCCCGAGGCCGCTCATCAGTCATTGCCTCGCCAGTTTCCAATTGATTCAATTGCCTCCGAAGCTCTGAACCAATATTTCAAGATTAAGGTCAAACTGATAAATTACTCCATATAAATAATTTCTGTACCTATATGTAAGTTTTTGAGCTACATCAACCATTAATAAGCTCAAATGAAACAGTTCATTCTTGACAAGTCTAAAACACAAAGACTTAAGATTTGCCCTTACTCTATAGAGGAGTTAAAGTATAACTAACTCTTACCCCTTATGTTAGAGCTGATTTCTCTGAAAACGCGAGGCATGTCACTCTCAACCAGAGGATGTATATCCGGAGTCGAAGCTGGGCTTGAAATCTGGGAATAATCTCCTCCCGGCCTCCACCCCAACTCTTCAGTAACACTGCTGCACACAGATGCAGGACTTGGTGGCACTTCTGTGAAATTCTCCTGTGTAAACCAAACAAGCTTTAAGGTAAGAGCATAAACGATCCGGATGTCAACTTCTTACTCTTATCATCAATCTATGAAAGGAAAACATTACGGGGAAGTTTCAAAATCATACATGTCTCTCATAAAGATTCATTGTTGTTGAGTCATTGAGAATGTGGTTAGTCCCACAACTCCCATGTGATCCTTCCAATGGTTGAAGTTTCTTACTAAAAAGTTTTGCTTTGAAGCTTGAGACTTTTTCCTTGAGGCTGAACTTCTCTTTTCTCTTGTTTTGATCCAGAGCACTCAAAGCAATCCTGTCACTGGCTCCTCGCTTCCTTTTTGCTTCTTCCAAGAGAAGGTATCCCAAGGACGTTCTTGATATGGGAGCAGACAAAGAACGGATGAGGCTCCTAGGCGAGAGTTTTGTCTCGACTTCATAAGGAGATTTTTCACTGTAAGGCGTTTCAATTCCTCTTCCTCTGCACTGAGTTTCGCGCCATTCGCGCCTCAATCTTTTGTTCACCTCCTCAAGAAAGTCCTCCATGCTATTGCCTCCTCTTTCCTCTGAAACACCCGGAGAGCTGGCCCGGGACCCACACATGGCAGCCTCAATATCATCAAAATCAGGCCTCAGAACCATGATTTCTGAACCCACATTGTTGAGACAAAAGGAGTTGTGTTTTTCAGTTTGCCATGCCTCAAACTCTCTCTTGAACTTCTCTAACTCCTCCTCCTGAGGATGTTCGCGACGAGGGGTTGGTTTCTCACTCTTCTTCTTCTTCTTGTTCTGTATTGAAGTTGGCATTGAATCTAACAAGAAAGGTGACATGTCCACGCCCATTAGACGCGCCACCGCACTTTGACCGTTCTGCCCTTTGCTCGAGCTTCTTCTTCTCCTTGTCATTCCTATTTCATCCTCATCATGGGTAAGCTGGTTTTTCATTTGGAGCTCAGTAGGAATGGAAATGAAATGGGTTCATGTTAGTCTGGCATGCCAGCCAGAGAGTATAACATAATGGAAGGCCAAAAAGTCGTCCACTCACTTATCTGATGTGTACCCTTTGGAGACCAACATGTCACATGATCAGTTTCAAGCTTTTTCAGGGAAAAACTAAAAAGGAGGGGAAAAAAAAGGAAGTGACTCTCAGAATCTCATTCCTTTCTCATCTTGTGTTTGTGATAGGAAAAAAAAAGGCGAACCCATTCCGAGGTTTCCCCACGCGACAAAAATGGGTAAATTGAACTATAATCTTAGTCTAATACGGAGTACTATGTTTGGTTTGAGGAATTAAGAAGGAAAAGAAATAATTTTTTTCTTTCTTACTTTCTTTCTTTTCCTCCCAAATTTGAAGTGTAAAAGAGTGCCAGGGGATTTTTCATGAGAAAGGAGCGTTTCTAGTGTGAATCAAAACCAATTGAATTGGAGTACAAATGTGATGGGGGATCATGTCTGACAAAAGCTGCAGATTTAGATATGTATGAGCACATAGGATAAAACTTGACTGAAAAGGTTGAATGCACTGAATTTGTGGTAGGCCTGAAACACAGAGTAGTTTTTTTTGTACCAAAAATGACACCAGAAATTCTTTTCGTCCCTAAATGATTTAAATTTATACAAAACAAAGTAAAACTTCATATTTTTTTAAATTCATTTTATTTAAAAACTAGTATACTGCAAAATAATACTCCGTTAAACTTATATATTTAAAAAGTACATCAAAAGTTTATATATATATTTTGTAGTTTTTTTAAATTTGATTTCATTGAGGTGTTTTAGATTTTCAAGGTTAAAATGAATGAGTATCGGGATTCACTTTACTGTGTTTGATTGAAACAATTTTTAGTTTTAATTATCTAAAAACTAGTGTAGAATTATCTGATAATTTTTTTCACATGTTTTAAATTAGTATCGGCGAGTTATCTAAAATATCGTAGATAGCCATATGTTATAAAACATTGTTGACAGTTGACACTAAGGAGGAATAGACTTGTTTGAAGAACTTGTTTAACATTTTAAATCTGCTTCGTAGGGTATAAAATGAGGTATGATTTAATTATTTTATTTTATTAAACTATGAATAAAAATTGTACTCTGTGTAAAGAAAGTACTATTAAATGAGTGAGATTGAGTCCCAATGCACCCAAAAGAACCCATAAATGAATGCATAAAAACTCTGGATTGATTTAAAGAAAATAAAAAAAATGCAAACATGAACTTACATTTATTGGTAGAATAAACCACCAATGCCGCAATTCCTTCAATGGGGTTTATTCTTGGAGAGGTTAAGAAGAAGAAGAAGAAGAAAAAGGGTAGCTAAGATCAGAGTTATATGGGAATATAAATACTTGTGTGTATATATAATGGCATGGAAAGAGAGTATTACTCCGTATTAATTAATCATTCTGAATTTCTCCCGGTTTGAGCGATAGAAAGCTCACTTCCTAAGATTCATGAGAAATTTCACCTAGGTTCGAGTCCTAAAAGAGACAGAGACATTAATTCTTTGTGCAACATTAGGCTGAAAAAAAATATATGAAGAAATACTATATTGTAATCGAGTCAATAAAACTAAAAAAAATCATTCTCTATACAGAGTCAAACTTAACTCACTATGTGTGTTTATTTTTATTACTCATTTTATCACATAATAGTCTTTTCATTTCTTGTTTTGTATAACTTTTTATGCAATTTTAATGTAAATTTATTTTTAAATTTTACACCTACAATAAAATATACTCCGTACTAAATTATGAAACAAAAACCTATAAATTAAATTAAAATAAAAGCCAATCAAGCCTTGTACTCCGTAATAATACATAAAAAGAAGATTTTTGGGAGAGGAAAGAAGTACATGAGTATTGAAAAGAAAAAAAATAGAATGAGAGAATAAATGGGCCCGGGCCCGGGCCGGAGCAATGATAATAATAGGAGTATAATGGTGGGAGTTAGGAAAAAGGATGAAAATAATAGAAAGAGTGGGCCGGGCCGGGGACGAAAGCTAATGACACTTTACATCGCTGGAAAATTGGTAAGCTTTTTGTTGTTTGTTTATAAGGATCAACAAACTGCTGCCACTGGACCCCCACACCACCAAGAGAGAATGTAATCATCTTATTCCTTCCCTCCCATAATTTTCTTTCTCGTTTAACTTTTGTAGTTAGTTCTTGAAAACTTTAGCAAGACTATTATTACACTCGTGCGCTGCACCGTACTGCATAGGTCATTTTTATATTACTAAATTAATATCATTTTTTAATGCTAAAAAATGAGATGTAATAGAATATAGAGATTATATTACTGACTGGTACAAAATATTTTTGCTTTACACATTTCGGAAGGCTTCTAAATTAAGATCATTTTTCAATGGTAGAAATTATATTTTTCCTTTACAAATTTTGGAGAACTTCTAAATCAAGATCAATTTTCAATGAAAGAAATATTTTTGCTTTACAAATTTCGGAAAGACTTATAAATTAAGATCATTTTTCAATGGTAAAAACATTCTTGCATTACAAATTTCGAAAGGCTTCTAAATTTCGGTAGACTTCTAAAAATGAGATGTAATAGAATGTAAAGATTATATTATTGTATGGTACAAAACTTGTTTGCTTTACAAACTTCGAAAGACTTCTAAACAAATTTGCTTTATAAATTTCAAAAGACTTTTTTGCTTTAAAAAAGTCTTTCAAAATTTGTAAAACAAATTATACGAATAATGCAACGAAGATAATTTTCCCACAAATTATACAAATAATGTAATAGATAAAGAAATTTTTAAAAATTTGTAAAGCAAACTTGTTTGTTACCATGAAATAATTTAATATCTATAATCTATTACATCTCATTTTTTAGCAGTAAAAATGATTTTTATTTAGTAAGATATAGATAGAAAGGATTATTTTATTATTATTACTTATCAATTGTTTTTTACATACCAATTTAATTTAAGATCATAACACGAAATCCTAAAACATATAACACGGTAAAATTTTAATTACTTATTACTCCGGGGTAGTTTATTACTTACCAATTACGGAGTATTACTTATCAATTAATTCATTACCTATCAATAGCACAGAATTGAAAAGGAAATTTTAATACTAATTGCACGAATCATACAATTTTAAGGTGAAAAAGGATTTTTTTATTTATTTCCGTGCGGTAAATAAATGATATTAAGAGTTTCTTTTTTATTTATTCAATCGAGCATTTAAAAGAGTATCACGTATATGGAAAAGAGTACTCCGTATTTTATACTTGTAATTATTAGTATTACTTATCAATTGTGTTTTTTACATACCAATTTTATTTAACATCATAACACGGAATTCTAAAACAAATATTGCAGTACCATTTAATTACTTACCAATTCTAATGGGAAAAGGAATTTTTTATGCCAATTGTATGAATTGAATTGTAAATATTAAATTTTATGTATGAATTTAATTATAAATATTAAATTTTACACTGCCAACTCACCACATTGTCACGTTATAATTATCCCACTACCACCGCTATACTGTCATCTATCATCGCTCGGCACTTGAAGGCCTCCGCGAATCGCCGATGATTGATCACATTGACATATTACACTGTTATCAATTTTCCATCACACTCATCACTAAACAAAAAGAAAAATGCTAGGGGTACACCTTTGGTGTACCCCATTTGTCCCCCACCCCCTCCTTGTCCACATAATTGGGCAAGAAAATCAAAAAAAATAAAGAAATAAAAATTAATTAAAAATGCGTGGTGGAGAAAGGGTGATGTACAAATGGGGTACACTTTTGGTGTACCCTAGCATTGGTCAAACAAAAAATATACTTTTAGATTCTCCCAAATTCCCAAAGATGATTAGCATGGCAATCTCCTTCAACCGCACTGTCATCATCAGAGCTTCAAGAATCATCAAATTTCACTCCTCAACGCTCCCAAGCACAATCTTCAATTCCATTCACTCTTTCCTCATTTTCCCAGAAAATCTTTCATCCTTTCAGGTTTCTCTCCACTGCTGGAGCTTAAAGTTTGAATCTTTTTCCCTTTTCTTCTTCTGCAGCAAATAATTTCAGCAGTAATTCTTTCTTGGTGTAAAGATTAGTTTTTTTTTTTGCTTAAGTTTTGATTTATCATCTGATCTGTGGATGATTTCAGGTGGGAATTCACATTATTTGTTAGCAGATGTGTACCAGAGAATCCATCTGATTCTATTAGCCCAGAGGCATTTCCTTGCTATTCCCCAGACTCATCTCAGGTCTGCTTTCTCTGCTTCTATTCATAACTCTTTTTAGTCATACGGGTAGAGAACAATATGTAGACACAGTGTGTGATGTTGTTGACCCGTCTCGTGTTCACTCCATTCTTGAGGAGGAGCCAAATCCGAGCGATAAGAAATTCTTTGACATGTTGCAAGCTGTTGATACAGGTCTGTGGACTGGGTGTAAAGAAGATGTCTAAGTTTACGATGTGTCTTGTTTAGGTGTCGGTGGTATGACCCTCGCTTGAATCGGGTGCCTGGAGTCGGTGGCTATGAGCGTTAAATGAGAAAGTTGAAGTCTTCATCCACCCATCGCCGCTCTAGCTCCTCCGCTAGTAGCAAGACTGAAATTGAGGCCCTAAAAGAGCAGAACCAACGCCTCTAAGAACAGGTTGATGCCCTCACCTCCAAATTCACCACCATTCAAGAGGACTTGAAAAGGTTATATGGTGGTAACCATCCACCACGAGAGACGATGACGGTGGAACTGGGGGAGCAGGGCAGCCAGGGGCCATTTGTTAGACAGTTTGAAAATATTACACTTCAATGTTTATGCACACAATACATTAACTTAATTTTTACGGAGTATTTGTTATGTAGTTTTTGATTGACTTTTATATTAAAAAAATTGTTTGTAGTCATGTTATAATATGTGTTTTCCATAAATCTCATCCCCATGAATGTTATGTTGTCGATGGTTGAGAAAAAAACAAAGAAACAACTGCAAAATGTCAGAAAATCATATCCGTTGGTCTGAGATGCAGTCGTTTGCGACGGATCAGCGACGGACGCAGGTGTTTAGTAGCAAATTTATGGTGTGTTTTCATCGTCGCAGATCTACAACGGTTTAGCATCTCCGTCCCAGATATTCAAGGATTGCCCCAATCTCTTTTCTTGTCACAGAGTCGTCGCAGGTCAGCAATTAATATCATTTTCCATCCCTAGCGACACCTTATCTGCGACGGCGTAAGGGCGTC